CGCCGCTCTCGGTGCTCCGCAGGTGCGCAGGGCGGCGCAGGCGCTGCTGGCGCTGGCGCGGAGCGGCGCGGAGCGGCTGCTCGGCGAGGGCGAGAGCGTCTTCCTGGTGCTGACCGTGTGGAAGATCCCGCGCGCCGCGCGCCTCATCACGCTGTGAGCGAGCGGGGCGGCGGAGCGGGGATGGAGCGGGGCGGCGGGCGGGCCCTGGGCCGCCGCTCACCGCCGCTCTCCCCGCAGGCCGCTGCCGCACGGCGTGCGCGGCGACGCGGCCGAGGTGTGCCTGTTCACGCGCGACGAGCCGGGCGCCTCGGCGGAGCAGACGGAGCGCGCGTACCGCGAGCTGCTGGCGCGCGGCGGCGTGAGCGGCGTCACGCGGGTGAGTGGGTGGGTGGGTGGGTGGCCCCCGCGCGCGGGTCCGGAGGGGCCGCCAGCGCCTCGGGCTGTTTGTGCGCTGGCTGCCGTGGGGGGCCGGCGCTGAGCTGTCGCTCGTGTTGCAGATCATCTCGTACAAAACGCTCAAAAGCGAGTACAAACCCTTCGAGGCGAAGCGCCGGCTCATGAACAGGTTCGACCTCTTTCTGTCGGACGCCCGGATCAGGCGGCTGCTGCCCTCGCACCTCGGCAAACACTTCTATCGGAGTAAAAAGTAAGTGRCAAAGCCCCGGCGCTGCGCGCAGCGATGGGCGGGATCCTGTGGCAGCGATCGGATCCCTGTTGTTGCAGCGCTGCCCCTTCCCCGCTCTTTCCAGGGTTCCTTTATCCGTAAACCTGCAAGCCAGCAACCTCGCCAAGGAACTCAACAAGTACCTGCAGGGGTCCGTGCTCCCGGTCACCAACAAGGGCTGCTGCTAGTAAGTACCAGGCCGGCAGTGCTCCGCTTCGCTGCAGCACCTCAGCCAGAGGARTTCTCGGTTATCTCATTAATAGGTGAATAAAAAAGGTTAAGAGTCAAACCCTACAGTCCCCCTGATGAATCATAACAGCTATAATCAGGAAATCAATAATTTTACTTAATAAGTCTTGCTGTAGGGTGTCACTGCTTTTTGCTGGTAATTGAGGAATTTCCAGGCAACTGTCAYTATTAAACAGCAAATGCAATCTTAGAAATTTTACTGTTAAATTGGATAAAAGCTATTGCAAAATATTCTATTCTTCATAGTCTTTTGTGTTTGTCTTGCATCTAAAACCTAGATCTAAATCTGCAACATGCTTAGTAATATAAAGTAGAAATCACATATCCAGACCCCTCAAAAAGGCGACTGTAGTACAGGTAACTCTGTTGGGACTTGCTACAAGAGATTACAGTAATAGCAAGCCATTTATTACATTAAGATAACTGCAGATAAGTGGGGTTTTCATATCTGGAAGTGCTTAAGAACAAATCAAGTGACCAGAAGCTTTTTTTTTCTTTTCTTTTTTTTTTTTCCTCTCTTCTTTTTTGGTCATTTTTTACCTGTACCTAAACATTGCTCTTGTCTCCTTTCAGTACAGCCCGTATTGGTCACACGGGAATGAAAGCTGATGAGATAGTAGAAAACGTGATGGCTGCCGCCAAGGTGATAGGGAAGAAGCTGCCGAAGGTACTGCTGCCGACTCACAGCGCGGAACTAGGAAGTGCCTTGCCTCCGCTTTGTTGGTTTTGTATAATATACTTTGCTCTTGTTGCAGAACTGGAAAAATGTCAAAATTCTCCACCTCAAAACAGCTAAATCGATTGCTCTTCCAATTTTTACTGCCCAAATCTCCAAGTTGGATGAGCTTGACAAAGAGCCATTGACTGATAAAGAGGAAGAAAAGGTAAAAACAAACCTGTTTATTGTTATAGTATCTAATATGTTGATTTTAAACATGGTGACATTGGATCTTAGGCAGCTGTGGCTAGAAATGGCTTTAGGTGCTCTGCGCTCTTGCAGTGCTCAGTGTTGCAAGATCATGGAAACTCCCTTGTAGGTTAGAAAGAAATAGAACGGTAATGGGCTCTTCTGAGAGCTACCAGTTTCTACCCTTTAGCTGTAGGTWTCTGAGATTTCTTCTCAGAATTTCTTGAATTATTACTGAATTTAATGTTTCCCATTTTCTATCTGAACAAAAACTAAYGGATACATGAGTAAAGTTATGCATCCATTACTTATTCAGATGCCATTGATTAGCCAATAAGTCGCAGACTGAAATATCCTTTGGGTTTTGACCTGTTTGGGTGGGAAAAAGAAAATATCAGCTATTCTTTACACAAATACTTGCATATGGTGTTTTTATGCCTAAAATAAGTTAGGCACATTTATAGGGTACTTAAAATGAGCTCTTCTCACTCTGTCAGTTAAACATTTTTTGATATTTTAACATGGCTGAGCAGTCAGTCAATAGAACAACAGTATTTACACTGATGTTGCTAAAATGTCGGGTGTCCTACCCATACTAAACCAGATTTCTGTATAACTCAGAAATGCTGTGGGTATATGTCTGAGATAAACTTGCAATTAATTCTAGAAGGGAAAGAAAAAAAGGATAAAGAAACCAAAGAAAGCCGGTGAAAAAATGACTTCAAGTGAAGTTGCTGTGACAACTGAAGCTAAGGACATCGCTGCTGACCAAGAGCCAGCAGTGAAGGAAGAAGCAGAACTGGCTCAAGAGCCAGATGACGACGACGATGGAGAAATTCCCCAACTAGTGCCTATTGACAAGCCAACGAGCGGTGTTGCTCAGCTGAAGGTAATGCTTTAGTAATGCTGAGAAACTCACATTTTGGTTAAGACTGAACATTCCAAACCGATCACATTTTGGCTCCTGAGGGAATAGTATGTTTCAGCACTCTTCAAGTGAAATAGGCTCTTTTTGTCCAATATCATGACAGCAAGGATTGAGTAGAGGTGGGGAGGAGACCTTGGAAGCTTCTCTGTGGACCCCTCTTACGGACAAAGTAAGCCAGGACTTACTGCCCTTCTCAACACTGGAGGTTCAGTCTAGCTAGAGTGACAGATCTGAACTCAGAACAAAGTGAAGTGATTGAGAAACAGTTTGATACTTAAACATAGATATATTTAATTAAAAGTTGTAATAATTAATTCCATTGCATTTTTATATATCATCACATGGGAATGCGTCAGTCTTGAGGGAAGACTAGGCTCAGTGCACAGATGCAGTGCAGTCAGTTCATGCCTTTACACAACAGCTCTACTAATCCAGCCCTTTTCATTTTCTCTTAATGCAGAAAACAGAACCAAATGAGAGTCCAGGAAAAGGTGGCAAGCTGGGCAAGAAAACTAAAACACGTCTTGGTAAGAGGAAAAATCCGTTCCCTCAGGAGACTCCAAAAACGAAACATAAAGTTACTGCAGAGAAGACAAGTCTGCCAGAATCACCAAAACRAGAACAAGCCAAGCAGCTCAACCCGTCAAAGGAGGCCATAAAGAAGAAAGAGCTCAAAAAGACTCCCAAAAAGCCTGAAGCAAAGTTTTTTGCAACACCTAAACCTGGCAAACTAGTACAGTCAGCCAAGAAACCTTCCAAAACACCTAAATAAACACCCAGGAAAAAAAAATCAGCCCACAGCCAGCCTGAGTATTGTGTGTTGTACCGTTTCATATAGTCATTGAAGTATGTCTTTTTAGGAAGCAAATACATTATTTTATTAATGTAACAACTCAATAAAATCTGATCCTAGGTGTGTTTTTTGGTTGGTTTGTTTGTTTCTTTTTTTTCCTTCACTGATTTAACTACTGTTTCCCACTAATGGAGAGGGTGGAACAAATTAACACTCTCACTTGCTCCTGTCTCTTTTATCTCCTGGTAGTCTACAATGAAAGCATGTAAAATACAAGTGTCCGAGGGTGGGGATGGAGCTTTCTCTARCAGCTTAGGAAACACCACAGAGAGGAGCCTTTTCAGTGTGATTTGCCATAGGAGCAACTACAGGTTAAAGCAAATCACAATGTATAATATTCGATCTAACTCCTGTGGCTTTTCCTGAATTGTTCAATGTAATGAACAGCGTGAGCTGTATCAATTTTAGTCCTGCTATGGCAGACCAGCAGCTTGACTACAAGCAAAGATTAATATATTTTTAGCTATTTTTGCCTGAGCAAAAGCCAGAGTYATGGCTATGCTAGGTGGTAAGATGCATTGGCAGTGATTTTCTTGACACTACTTTTTTTTTTTAATCGGATTTTTTTGGTTTTTAAGCATTGGATAGTATAAGAAGCTTGTGGGGTTTTAGTTTGTGTTTTCTGTTTTGGGGTAAGTGCTCAAGAACTCTACATGCCATTCTCACTAAGCTATTTTTCCCTTATGTTCAAAGAAAACGTGGCTCAAATAGTTGCAAGCATAACTTGTTTATTTTTCACCTTGTGTTAGAGAAGGGAGTTCTCAGTCCCAGGGGAACCATCAGCTGTTCTCCACTGTCACTGCTTCATCCATCCCTCTGACCTGGTCAACAGTCTCTCTTGTCGGGATATTTCCCTAGCTCAGCTGCGTGACGGCAACCGAGATCTGCACAAGGTCTGTTCTTCATGTTCGTGTTCCTGTTTTTCCCTYTCTGCTCTGTGGCAGGTTTGTCTTGCAGTCAGCAAAGGGATTTACAATTTTAGCAAATGCAGCCTAATCAGTTTAAAATATAAATGTGAATTTATTAAACTCATATATCCTATCCTATATCCTCTTTAACTGCTTAGGCTGCCTTCCCTTTCCTATCCTACCAAATAAGGTTTCTTTACTTTGCAAAGTTTGTCRTAACCTGTTTGAATCATTTTTCAGCATTCCTCATGTACTGCTACAATGCTGGCTTTCTGCTTAGAAAGTCCATTATATTAAAAGGCAACTTCCTGGGATTTTTCCATGCTGTTCTATTATATTCCAGAAAAAGACTTATTATTTTTCTGAACCTCAGAGCATAAAAGTTACCTTGCAAGTAGTCGTGCTTATCATTGTGGTCTTAAAAACAGTGAGAAGTAATTGTATTCTGAGTCTGAACACCATCTTAATATCAAAAATCACAAATGCATTCACATGTAATATTTCTATAGTTACATTTTCACATTTTATTTCCTAAGTACTCTTTTATCAGAATAAAACAAATGTGATTCTTACGGGTTTAAATATTTGGTAACTGTTAAGCTATATGCTGGCCATGGAATTGAGTAGCTTGTAGAAGGTTAGATAGAAGCTAAACACCAGATTAGGAAAGTACCATGCAATCTATCTTAAGTCCCTGTTTGTAGGCTGGGGTGCAACTTAGAGCGTTCTTTACCATATATATCTCTATAGCTCCTTCCATTTCTCAGTCAACTATTCTTAATAATGCRTTTTTCAGAGAGAATGACAAGTAAAATATAAATATTTATTCATTGAAAGTGAGTTTTATAATCTCTTACACTAAAAAAGACTAAGTCTAATAACTAATAATTGAGAAAATCTGTTTAGCATGTTGTTTCTACAGCAATCTCTTACATACTTTTTTCCATTTCCAAAATAAATGTAATTTTTTTTCCAAAGCTGGCGTATTAGTCTTTTTCCTCAAATCTTTGTAAGCTTCTTTAGCAAACGCAAACCAGATCTCCTTACCTTCACTTAAGGGGCTTGTTTCTGCTGCCTGAACAGTTGAAGGTATTCACAAGCTCGTCTCAATACAGTTGTATCCTCCATCTGAAAAACACCAAAACATCTATGGTTTAGGAGTACACCAGCTACGTGAATCAGTCCACAGAGGCAAAAAACCACATTCCGCAGAACCGACAATTGACGTATTTGAAGTTTGATAGAGTAGGTCGTTGTTTTCCTCTGATTTATTTCAGGCCCTCCTCAGTGTGAATAAAAAGCAGATAGTGATGTAAAGGTAAAAAGCTTCCTTAGCGAGACTATTCCAATTCAGACAGGAAAAAAGATAATGAAAGAAAGATTAGCCAAGTCCATAATCAGCCTAGTTTGGCAGGTTCTGAAAACCTATCCCATCCATTTCCTGCTGGGGACCTCCTTTACCCGTATTGTTTTGCTGCCTGGGAACTACCGGAGCTAAGTTAAAATGGTAAAAGAAACATTAGAGAAAAGTTTCTGCTCGATAGATGAAGTCGGCTTTCTGCCACCCGTGACCTCCTATTCCATTGCATCACACCCTTCCTCCATCAAGCAGAGGCGAGGCTGGATCCACGGCCCCGCCGGTTCCGCGCTGGCAGCGGCTGCTGTCTCCGGCAGCAGGAATCCCCTCGCGCTCCGCCCGGGCTCCGCGCGTTCCCTAACAGCGCAGCGAGAGGCGAAGCGGAATCCCCCTTCCCGCAAGTTCTTGTTCCAGCCGTCTGCGCTAAAATAAAACCTTAGTGTCTCAGTTTGGGGATGAGCAGGAGACTATGATACGAAGACCATGAAGTCTGTATGAGTAATTTATAGTGAAACACACCAGCGTGCAGGGGCTGGGGAAAAGGAAAACACCCGTCACATTAGAAAAATGACCAGGAGCTGCCTTGGAACATAATTCCCTGGCAGCTAGAGGCAGTCCGTGCCTCTGGAATTCACACAGCTAGAGGGTTAGATGTGGGAAGTGGCTGATCCAGCTACAGGCTGAGCCACGGCGGGGGGAAATACAGAAACRCAGAGGTTGCCATCGCCCAATTTGCTCCTTTTCCTTTGCAGCGTAACCTAGGGCTCTGGCAGATAAATAGCTACGATGCAGCGCTACGGAGGGGATTTTCTTCTTCCTTTAATCGGCGTACCCTTCAGTTGAAAGAAATTAAATTCAGTGAGAAATGGAAGAATATATTGCAGATGTTCGCTCCGAGCCATTTGCAGCAGTCACTCCTGTTTACAAGCAGCAAATTACCAGTCATGTTACAGGGACTTGTATTCCCCAGCTTTCCAACAAATTACATACACCGAAAATCAGCGCTGACGGCAAAGGAATTAAAATCTTTTTTTTTTTCTTTCATTCAGGGAACTATTTCTTACTAATGTTTCTCCTGCTTGCTTAAGAGGATTAGGATATCTTGTCACTTTGCAAATCAGGAAAGGAGGAAATAAGGAAAAGCACCATTCATTCCAAATAAGTTGAAGCAGTGATGATGGCATCACTGGTTACAGAATCAAACCATGTGTAAAACAAAGCTGTGTTCATTTTGCTAATTACAGCCAACCATCAGCAAGGGCCAAACTACTGCTTCACGTCCTTAGGGTAACTGTGGATTAAAAAAGAAAAAAAAAAAAGGAAAGAAAAGAAAAGAAAAGAGTGAGGTTTCTGTGGGCTGTCAGTGGCAAGATGGAAAACACCTCCTCAGAGGCTGAGCTGCTTTAACTCTGTGAGACATGTTAGTGAGTGTTAAGATCAGTCTTAAATGAGCGGCCAGCATGCAATAGCTCAGGCTGAGCCTATGTAAGGACATTTCTGGGAATAGGCATCAAGAGACTAAAATAAATCAGGTATGTTCATATGTAAATACTAATAGCTATTTATAGACTGAGCATTTTTGTTCCTGCAATTCCTGTTCTGATTTGGCTGACTTTGGAAATAGAATGTGAAGGGTTTCCTAGGCATCAGAATCATTATTTAAAGTACTGTATCTTTGACCTCACTTTTTCTTTCTTTTTTTTTTTTTTCCTTCAAAAATGAGCGGGCAGGTGGGAGGAGCTAACTTAATGTTTGTGGAGCAGCTAGCAGAGCTATGAATCTKGTAATAAAGCTGTAAGACTGTAAGTTCTCTTGGGAGCTTTATAATTCTGAATTTAAAATAGGGACTTTAGCCAAAAGTGTTTTACTCATCTTTCATGTGAACTTAAACTTGCTGTATAGATCCTGAAAGCAGGATCCATAGTGACCTAAGGGAGGGTGGAAAGGAAGAGAAGCTTCCAAAATATCACTGTCTTCCTTCCTGGCCCTCTACCCCCTTTTCTTTTTTTTTGTGAATTAAATGAACCACGTAACCTTTTATTGTTAATCTTTCCTGCCAAAGATTTTAATTTGGCTCTAAATTCTGCAGGGAATCTTCTTTCTTACTTGAAAGGTTTAATAAAGATACTACTGAAATATTTCCTTTATTGATGCACAAAGTGGTTGTTCTGAATGGATCTTAATCCAAGTTTTCCATTTGTTTTTCATGTTAGTTTTAGAGCGAGCACTACCTGCTGGGGATAAACCAGAGTTAGGAGGGAAGTGTTTCCAAAGCCTGCTGTAACTGTTAGAAATTAAAACTCCAATGAAACAATTAGCTGACTTAGCTTATCACTCTACTGAAGCCAAAACACATTCCTTSCCCACAAGTGCGTTGAAGAATAACTGCTACTAATAAACAAATATCTGAGTACCATCAAACAAAACCCTCTGCAGGAGGGATGCTGAGATAAGATAGACATTTCTTTACAAACTATTTTTGCAGAAATTAGGCCTTGGTTGGGGCCCAGGCTTGGTGTACAGGTAAGAATGCTACAGTGCTACAACTGCGTCCTTTAATAGTGCTTTCCAAATAATTTACGATGGTTAATATTGACTTGCTTAAAGCTCCTTCTATGTTATCTTCTTCTCCTTGTGCAATTAGATCTTTTAATCCTAGCAACCTTCTAATTAAACAAACCTGTGGGGCTGTTTCTTGTAGGTGCCACGTGATTACCAGAGATCCTGCTGTGCTCAGGATCCTCACGTTTGCTCAACTACCCAAAAGCCACATCCTGCACCAAACGGGCTGGAATAACAAGAGCTAGGCAAGCATGTGAACTTCCTTTGGGAATCTGGGTGATGGGCAACGTTACCTTCCTTCCCCGGCATGTTTGAGGGGTCTGAAGTCAGAGAGTTACTTGGTTCCCTCACGCGAGGCAGGAATGGAAACACATTCTAACAGGTTTTTAATGAAGCCAGCTTTAAACTCTAAAAGCTGTAGGATCAACAAAATAACCGGGGAATGGCAGAATAGGATTTATATCCCAAAAGTGATTATTTTTAAGACAAAAGAATTTGAGTTGTTACTGCAAGTTCCAAAGTGAAAAGCAATTTATTACCAAAGGAAATCAATAGTGTGGGGTATTGTTTTGTTCTGTTTTCTTTCACAGGACCCACCTTTGGGCTATTGACAGCCACTGTTTGTGGGATAATGTCTGCCATAGAGACAGCCCCTACCGAGGAGGTGGCTTCGCCTGGCCCTGCCTTCCCGCCTCTGGAGACGCCTGAGGCAAATCCCGTGTGGGCCGAGGAGAGCCCCTGGTGCTACTACAGCAGGCCGGCCACGCTGCTTGTGGTCGGCGGGCTGCTCGTGGCCGGCAGCGCCGCCATGGGCGCGCTCCACTTGTCCCGGCACGCCGCCATCCCGCACGCCCTGGGGCCCGTGTGCCTCTCCATTGGCCTCGTGTTCCTGGTGACCGGCATCGTGTGGATGCCCGTGGCCGCCCAGACCGCGCGGCACAAGGGGCTCCTGAGGGCGCGTGCGAGGAAGCGCCTGGCCGCGGGCAGCCCTGGCGCCTGAGGGCTGCAGCGGGGGAAGCTSATGCCAGCTGAGCGGTGCCATGGAACGGACTGCGCTGACAGATTGTCCTCCATAAAGCTGTTTCACTCCACGGATGTTTCCATCTTTACACGTGTGTTTTTTAACCCCTGCCGGGCTCCGCTCGGAGCGTGAGGCAGGGCCGAGGTGAAGGCCGGGGCCGG